CAATAATCTATCCTTGTCATGCAAATAATGCTGACACAACAACCTATTTTAATCTTTTGATTCATTATTATAAAAAAGAAAATAATCATTAACATGATTTGTCCTTTTTAATGATATTTTTATACTGTGATCTGAAGATGATTTCTGAACTGTCATTAGTGTTAATTTAATTTAATTTGCTGTTTTTCTGTTTCTCTCCTGAGCAGAAGTAAAAAACGGATGCATGTTTGTTTAAAGCCACCCTGTCCAGTAGACATGTTTCTCCCAGAAAGAAATATTTTGTCTTCTGTGACAAGACCTGGTATTAATGTTGTGTCTAGAACACACACAGCTGTACCCTAAGTGAAAACGGGCAGAAGCCAGTTTCAATTAGCTCTGAACTGGATTTTGCTGTAGCTGGAAGCTTCGAGACCTGATGTTGAGCGACAACCATCTGAGGGGAAAAATGTAATTTCTGATTACTGCGAACGAGAAGTTTTTGCTGACCCGGTGGGGTCTGAAAAGGCTGTTTTGTGATGGGAAACCTGCTTGATGTGAGGACCTATGGACAGTTCTTAAACTCCTGTTGACCCTAAGCCAAATGGGTCCCAAGTAGGGTGGTCCTCTATAGTATGCCAAAAATAAAAATGTTACTTTTTTAAGGTGCTTCTTGGCAAAATTGTTCCTTTTGCAAAGAAAATCCTTTGTACCAAATTTTGAGTCGATACAACTTTTCTAACCACTGCCACATGTGGGGTGAAAATTAATATGGTTGAGCTCATTTGTGCATGCCAACATGCTTGCTTAGATATGAAATACAAAAAGAAACAAAGTGGCAGCATAGTGGCTCAGTTGGTAGAGCAGATGTCTCTCAGCAAGAAGGTTGTCTGATCAAATCCCAGCCCGGGGACCCCTCTGGGTAGWGATTCCCTGGGTTTTCTCCAGGTACTTTGGCTTCGTTCCAAAATCAAAATTGTTAACTCTAAATTCTCCCCATCTATGTGGCCCTATTATGGACTTGTGACCATTGATTGCTGTGAGTACCATAAACCTGAAAGAAAAAAGCAAATGGATGGATGGGCTTACAAGACTAAAATTAACAAGTGTCATTCTTCACATATTTGGTGAGAACAAACAGTCATGAAGAGTGGCATTTGGCTCCAGGAACTGACATCGATGCRACCTAACAACTTGCAGCATGTATTGCCACTGCTGATCACTTGATTGTAATCCTGGATGAGTTCCCTGTTTATTAAAGTCATTGACATCCTAATCATTTGTCGCTTACATCCTAATCATTGGTAATTGGCATCCTAATGTGACACAGAACCTGCCATGACTAGAATGATGGGTCATCCTCCCATTCTGATGGGTCCTTGACAAGGTGACGCGGGATGTGTAACCCTCTTCCTGGGATTTTTCTCTCAAATGTCCACTCACTGAGCAACAAAATTGACGAGCTGGCACTGCTGACAAGATATAACGGAAATTTTTCCTCCTCCCGTGTGTTCTGTTTCACYGAGATGTGGCTCTGTGGCCAGATCCCGGACCGCGCACTACACCTGGATGGATTTCAACTCATCCAGGCGGACCGCGACCCGGTGCTCTCATGCAAGTCCAAAGGTGGGGGAGTCTGTTTCTTCATGGTGGCTGTGGKAGAGTGGTTAGGAGAGTCATCCTGGAACCGGTAGGTCACCGGTTTGATCCCCCGTCCAACTGTCTCAGTTGTTGTGTCCTTGGGCAAGATACTTCACCCCAAATGCCTCTGATGTGTGTCCCATCAGTGTATGAATGTGATTGGCACTGATTAGTCTCCATAGATGATTGTACATGTTAGCTTTGTAGAGACCTAATAGATGTTCAGGATGGCTACACACAACCTGGATGAGTTTACAGACTGTGACCTCATTTGTCCACATCTGCAAGGAAAGCATAGTGCCACAGTGAGTGGCTTGCCAGGGAATTTGTCGATTGTTTTATGCCAGATACAGCCACTGAGCTACTGCAGGCCACATCATCAGSGGGCTTCCATCTAGGGCACACAGGGAAGCAGATATGGTCAAGGGCCCAGAATGAGGCAAACTAGGGTTGAGGGGGAGGTCCTTTTCCCTTCCCACCCAAATTTTGTTGCAGCAGTTGGGGGATTGGAACTGCTGACTTCTTAATCACAAACCATCTCTAACCTAGGCACTACCACATCTTATTTTATTATGCAGCTATGTAATAGAAGAGATTTAATTTGCAACAACAACAACATAGTTGGGGATAACTTACCTTGAACTAGAATGTGAACTGAGGTAGTTCTTGGTTGACTGCTTGTTTGGACTGCACATATGTACTGTCCTTCATCCATCATGTCCACATCTTCAATCTTGATTGTGAATTCCATCTGATTGAGGGCCACCAGACTTACTCTGGGATCAACTGACCACTTGTCATTTCCAGCATACAGTATACTTGACCGGTTTAGCCATGCAGTGTGTGTCATCGCACCTCCCTGTTCACACCTGCAAAGACAAAAAAGAAGAAAAAAAAACAGTTCTCACAAGCTGATCTTTAACTTCAAATGGAATATGTTGTGTTTGGCATTAATGATTCCAGAATAAAGCAAGTTTACTTTCAACTCTTTATTGAAATTCCAGCACAACTGGTGGAAATTACCACAGACTTTCAGCGTGGGGCTGAAATCGTAGAACACATTTCACACAAGTATGATGAATTTAGCTACTTCTACTTGAGCAAAAATTACTAGGGGGTTGGGTGAGTCCCRTCAGTTTTGCAAGAATAAAGAATGTCCCTCCAACAAATCATTTGAGGAAATTATCCTTTTAAGCAATATTAAAAAGTAAGTATATCCAGTGTCTATATTAGCAAAACAATGCATTCAAAGACTTTGCCCACTCTTGTCCCTCTGGTCCACTGATATTTTGCTACTATAAATATCACAAAGCAACAAAATTAGCTTAAAGGAGACCAATTATGTGTCCTAGAAATTTTTTATGGTATATCTGTGGGCTATCCAGACCATGTTCATTCAATTTAATGCAC